CACTTAAAGTGTGAAGAATTTTCTAGGACAGGGGGAGTACTAAATTAGTGTATATGGTAATTTGAGACTACGTTGCGATTACAATTTAAATTTAGTTTAGTTAGTTGAACATTTTAATTTAGTCATCACTACTTATTTCCAAATAACATTATACTACGTAATATAATATAGTTCATACTCCGTAACATTTATTATAATTGAGCCATAAAAGCGAACATAAATTATAATTACACTATACCGGTAAAATTTTCACAAGCTCGTCTAGACTAGTCCTTTTCTAGTTTCTGGCAAATGTTATGTCTAGAACTAGTCCTTTTCTAGTTTCTGGCACAGTGAAAATATTACTCAATGAAAAGTCTAAAATTTGTATCGGTACATATAATATAATTGCACTATACTGGTACGATTTTCACAAGCTCGTCTAGAACTAGTCCTTTTCTAGTTTCTGGCAAATGTTATGTCTAGAACTAGTCCTTTTCTAGTTTCTGGCACAGTGAGAATATTACTCAGTGACAAGTCTAAAATTTGTAATTGTACATATAATATAATTGCACTATACTGGTACGATTTTCACAAGCTCGTCTAGAACTAGTCCTTTTCTAGTTTCTGGCAAACGTTATGTCTAGAACTAGTCCTTTTCTAGTTTCTGACACAGTGAGAATATTACTCAGTGGCAAGTCTAAAATTTGTATGGGAACATATAATATAATTGCACTATACTGGTACAATTTTCACAAGCTCGTCTAGAACTAGTCCTTTTCTAGTTTCTGGCACGGTGGTAATATTGTTCAGTGGATAAGCCCATTATCAACCGTACATATATTATAATGTAATACATAAGACTGATATAGTTTCATTGAAAGTTTATGTGTAATTTATAATTTCATTTAATAAAACACGTCATTATAATATACATACACACACATATATAACACTAATATATGATTCTTATTGTCAGTTGAGATACGAATGGCTGCACAAATACCACTTATGGACCCGGTTGATCGGTCTGTGTTGGTGATGCCACGTTACGCGCATCGAGCGGACCTTGTCTGGAATGATGCTACATCCATGGATGACAAGTTGAGGTGTAATGTATATTGTTCAATGGTGTACAAAGATGGCCCGCGTCACCCAGGAGTGGTAGCGTTGCTGAAGGCCTCCGGCTTTTACGGCGTCGACTGCATCGGAAGGTTGCAGTTAAACTGGTCGCTTATTACGGCGTTGGTTGAGCGATGGAGACCAGAGACACACGCTTTTCATTTGCCTTTTGGTGAGGTGGGCATCACCTTACAGGACGTAGAAGTGTTGTTGGGGTTGCCCATCGACGGAGAACCACTGTCAGGACCTAGGACAAACTCGAAAGCACTTTGGATGCAAATGTGCACGGACTTCGCCGGTTTCACGCCAAACAAGAACGACTTAAACACATCTGTAATAAGAATGAATGCCCTACAGCGTTGGCCGGTACATCAGCACAGCACAAATGAGGAACTCATCACATACACGAGGGTGCTCATTTGGCAACTACTAGGTGGCTTATTGTTCCCCTCCACTACCGGGAACAAAATAAAATTGTACTTTTTAGAGTTGTTGCAGGGACCGCTCGGTGAAGCACGACGGTGGAGTTGGGGCTCAGCAGTATTGGGGTTCCTGTATTACAACATGTGCAAGGCCGCCAAAGCGAACAGGAGAAATATTGGGGGATGCTTGCTTCTATTGCAGATTTGGGCGTGGGAGAGATTGCCCATGGTGCGGTCGCGAAACGTTTTGCCATATGAGAATCTACAGGATATGCCCTATGGGTGCAGGTATAATTTGAAATTTTACATAATAAGTATTAGTATATTAAATATATTTGTAGGTCATGGTATAATAACTTATTTTTATGAAGGTGGGCATGCCGGCACAATTGGGAACAAAGTTCTCGGTATACTCTACGTATTTATCGAGATCAGTTGGACGGGATCCGAGAGAACGAGGTTATAATTAACAATATCATTTTAGTTTAATAGAAAATAAATATGTTTTTGAATTAACTTCAAATAATATTGATCCAGTTCGTGTGGCGCCCATACGCATTACAAGCCCTCCCCAGGTTCTGCGTCGCGGGAGTAGATTTGTGGACATCTAATGTCATGCTTATATATTGTGACATTTCTGAAATGTACTACCCCGGTAGATTTTGTCGTCAATTCGGTGCAATGCAACATATTCCTCCCGCAGCGGAATCACAAGCTAGCCACCATGCAAGTGGTGCAAAAAATTCTGGATGGCCATTGACACTATGGGCGGCGAGGCACAATCGTCGTATCGCATTTGAGTTCGTTGATCATCGCACCTACACTCCTGCGTACCGTGAATGGTACGCAAATGTCGGGAAACGACGGATTTGCAATCCGTTACATGGTCGACCTACAACGGGTTATGTAACTACTAACAGGGAGACAAGTACACTAGTAAGTATTTTATGTGTAATTATGCAACTTAGAAATGTTTATTATTATTTAATAACGAGGAAAGGATGGATTTACGGGATTTTGATGCCCCCATTCCCAAAATACGAATGTCAGCATTAGGTTACCAATTTACGGGAAACGGAGTTGGCTACTCCGACTTTTCCTAGGGTTTTCCTAGGGTTTGCAGAGCTGTCAGCATCCCTACTTTCGGATTCTCCTAATCCGACTTTGGGTTTTATTTTCAAGGAAAAACGGATTTGGTGAATCCGAAAAGTTCAAAACCAAAAAAAAAGAAATCGGATGTAAGGAGTGAAAAGCCGTGTGTCAGGAGGCAAAGAAATTCGGATTTGCCTAATCCGAAATATGAAGCTCCCGGATTGGCCAATCCAAGTTTACTCGGATCGTGCTTCTTCAGCTCATTTTTCAACCGTAGGATTTAACAAACTCATCCCAACTGTCCATTGTTTTACACGGAAATCCATACTCCCAATCTCAAACTTCACCTATTTAAATCACTTCAACATCATATTCAGCCTACTACCATAAAAATAAATTTAGTTACAAAAAACTATTGAGTGTTCTTGCTAATTCTATTCTCCGAGTTTTTCAAAGAAAGGTTAGAATTTTAATTATATATTTACTCTTTACCGTTAATTTTTTGTACTGGTTGTGTTATGTCAGCCCGAATATTTCGAAAATCTTAATATTAATATGTAATTAATCTTAATTGCTATTAAGATTGTTGATATATGTCATACTAAATATATAACAATAGAAATAATTAGCCCACAACTTATAATTATTTGTAGTATTTCCTTTACAGTAGTTAATTTATGTTGATAATGTAAGCACATTTACTGTTTTTCAATTACTCTAATTATTGGTTCACTAATATTTGTTACTAATGTATTAAATACTCCCACTGTCCCATAAAATTCTTCTCACTTTTTTTTTGGACCGTCCCAAAAAATTCTTCCCACTTACCATTTTTGGACAATTTGTGTGGTTCACATTAATTTGACCTTTTTCTTACACAACTACAACCACACTTAAAGTGTGAAGAATTTTCTAGGACAGAGGGAGTACTAAATTAGTGTATATGGTAATTTGAGACTACGTTGCGATTACAATTTAAATTTAGTTTAGTTAGTTGAACATTTTAATTTAGTCATCACTACTTATTTCCAAATAACATTATACTACGTAATATAATATAGTTCATACTCCGTAACATTTATTATAATTGAGCCATAAAAGCGAACATAAATTATAATTACACTATACCGGTAAAATTTTCACAAGCTCGTCTAGACTAGTCCTTTTCTAGTTTCTGGCAAATGTTATGTCTAGAACTAGTCCTTTTCTAGTTTCTGGCACAGTGAAAATATTACTCAATGACAAGTCTAAAATTTGTATCGGTACATATAATATAATTGCACTATACTGGTACGATTTTCACAAGCTCGTCTAGAACTAGTCCTTTTCTAGTTTCTGGCAAATGTTATGTCTAGAACTAGTCCTTTTCTAGTTTCTGGCACAGTGAGAATATTACTCAGTGACAAGTCTAAAATTTGTAATTGTACATATAATATAATTGCACTATACTGGTACGATTTTCACAAGCTCGTCTAGAACTAGTCCTTTTCTAGTTTCTGGCAAACGTTATGTCTAGAACTAGTCCTTTTCTAGTTTCTGGCACAGTGAGAATATTACTCACTGGCAAGTCTAAAATTTGTATGGGAACATATAATATTATTGCACTATACTGGTACAATTTTCACAAGCTCGTCTAGAACTAGTCTTTTTCTAGTTTCTGGCACGGTGGTAATATTGTTCAGTGGATAAGCCCATTATCAACCGTACATATATTATAATGTAATACATAAGACTGATATAGTTTCATTGAAAGTTTATGTGTAATTTATAATTTCATTTAATAAAACACGTCATTATAATATACATACACACACATATATAACACTAATATATGATTCTTATTGTCAGTTGAGATACGAATGGCTGCACAAATACCACTTATGGACCCGGTTGATCGGTCTGTGTTGGTGATGCCACGTTACGCGCATCGAGCGGACCTTGTCTGGAATGATGCTACATCCATGGATGACAAGTTGAGGTGTAATGTATATTGTTCAATGGTGTACAAAGACGGCCCGCGTCACCCAGGAGTGGTAGCGTTGCTGAAGGCCTTCGGCTTTTACGGCGTCGACTGCATCGGAAGGTTGCAGTTAGACTGGTCGCTTATTACGGTGTTGGTTGAGCGATGGAGACCAGAGACACACGCTTTTCATTTGCCTTTTGGTGAGGTGGGCATCACCTTACAGAACGTAGAAGTGTTGTTGGGGTTGCCCATCGACGGAGAACCACTGTCAGGACCTAGGACAAACTCGAAAGCACTTTGGATGCAAATGTGCACGGACTTCGCCGGTTTCACGCCAAACAACAACGACTTAAACACATCTGTAATAAGAATGAATGCCCTATAGCGTTGGCCGGTACATCAGCACAGCACAAATGAGGAACTCATCACATACACGAGGGTGCTCATTTGGCAACTACTAGGTGGGTTATTGTTCCCCTCCACTACCGGGAACAAAATAAAATTGTACTTTTTAGAGTTGTTGCAGGGACCGCTCGGTGAAGCACGACGGTGGAGTTGGGGCTCAGCAGTATTGGGGTTCCTGTATTACAACATGTGCAAGGCCGCCAAAGCGAACAGGAGAAATATTGGGGGATGCTTGCTTCTATTGCAGATTTGGGCGTGGGAGAGATTGCCCATGGTGCGGCCGCGAAACGTTTTGCCATATGAGAATCTACAGGATATGCCCTATGGGTGCAGGTATAATTTGAAATTTTACATAATAAGTATTAGTATATTAAATATATTTGTAGGTCATGGTATAATAACTTATTTTTATGAAGGTGGGCATGTCGGCACAATTGGGAACAAAGTTCTCGGTATACTCTACGTATTTATCGAGATCAGTTGGACGGGATCCGAGAGAACGAGGTTATAATTAACAATATCATTTTAGTTTAATAGAAAATAAATATGTTTTTGAATTAACTTCAAATAATATTGATCCAGTTCGTGTGGCGCCCATACGCATTACAAGCCCTCCCCAGGTTCTGCGTCGCGGGAGTAGATTTGTGGACATCTAATGTCATGCTTATATATTGTGACATTTCTGAGATGTACTACCCCGGTAGATTTTGTCGTCAATTCGGTGCAATGCAACATATTCCTCCCGCAGCGGAATCACAAGCTAGCCACCATGCAAGTGGTGCAAAAAATTCTGGATGGCCATTGACACTATGGGCGGCGAGGCACAATCGTCGTATCGCATTTGAGTTCGTTGATCATCGCACCTACACTCCTGCGTACCGTGAATGGTACGCAAATGTCGGGAAACGACGGATTTGCAATCCGTTACATGGTCGACCTACAACGGGTTATGTAACTACTAACAGGGAGACAAGTACACTAGTAAGTATTTTATGTGTAATTATTCAACTTAGAAATGTTTATTATTATTTAATAACTTTACTTTTGAATTTTAGATGCAATGTATGGGCGATATCTATCGGCGCATGGCAGCTTTATTTGACGTCGAAGACATTCGCGAGCAAATTGCACGATGCCTTACAGGATTAGGTGCCGAGAATGTGCTTCATCAAGACATCATTTTCTATGGGGATGCCCATGATGATGCAGTGGATGATCATCCTCCACTTCAGCAAGACCGTAGAAGAGTCGCGGCCACTAGAGGTCGGCGTTACGGACGCGGTTATGTTGCTCCACACGTCGACAATGATGATGGTGATGATGATAATCACGATGATGATAATGATGATGATGAGGAGGAGGAAGAGGATGACGAAAGTGGATTATAAAAGAGCCCGTAATGACAGGCTTATGACGAGCAAGATCATAGCGAGTGTAATCGCTACAAAAGTGCATGTTGATCCGGACTACAGCATTAAACTCGTGATGCAAGACACATACGACAAATTCAGAATCAATGTCAAGTACAAAAAGGCGTGGTATGGACGTTTGATTGCCCTTGAACGAAGATTCGGGAACTGGGAGGCGGCCTACAATGATTTACCCAATTTGTTGCTTGCGATAAGAGAATCAAATCCGGGGTCAGTGGTAGATTTCCAACCAAAACCAACCAGTCATGATGGTACGTATGAATTTCATCGTGCATTTTGGGCTTTTAAAGCTTCCATTGATGGGTTTGAACACTGTCTGCCCGTAGTATCTGTTGACGGTACTCACTTGTACGGAAAGTTCAAGGGTCATCTCTTGGTTGCAGTCGCCATGAATGCTAACCGTGAGATTTTCCCTCTCGCGTACGCAGTTGTGGAAAGTGAAAACACAAATAGTTGGTCCTGGTTTTTGGAACACATTATGACTTATGTTGTCAGACCAAATCGGCATGTGTGCATAATATCAGATCGACACCCTGGCATCCTAAGTGCCTATGAATCAGTACCTCAATTGAAAACCTCCCAAGTTTCGAAGCGGTTCTGCCTCCGACACATGAGAAGCAATTTCATGACAAAATTCAGGAGCACTGAACTGAAAAAGCTCTGTTGGCAGGCCGGGAGTACACCCATGGTGAGTGAATTTTACCAAACAATGGCTCAAATTCGTGCTACGAATGAGAATGCGTTCATGTATTTGAACGCTATTCCACGTGAAAATTGGGCACTGTGCTTCGACGATGGACGACGTTACGGCATCCTCACAACAAATCTTTCCGAGAGCTTCAATAACGTTCTAAAGGGATGTCGAACACTTCCAATCACCGCGCTGGTTAAGGCAACTTATAACAAAGTTGTCCAACTATTTGCCGATCGACGTAGGGCCGGTCAGATGTGGCGGCAAGCTGGGTTCCTATATCCGCAAAATATATGGAAAGATATTCTTGAACGTTCACAGAAAAGACATCAGTGCACTATTGTCCCGCATAACCGAACAACGGGAATATACTCTGTTTCCATCCGTGATTATCCGCCGGTAACGGTAAATCTCTCACGTTGCGAATGTGATTGCGGTTTTTGGAAGCAAAATGGATTTCCATGTGTGCACGCCTATGCAACATGCCATTTCTTAGAAATAACTGTAGATCATCTCATCCCGAACGTGTATAAATTAGGTGCGTACATCCGTACGTATGCTACAGATATTATGCCTATGCATGACGTAAGTGCGATGCCTGATACCGGATATGTAGTGATACCGCCTCAAAGTGCTCGACGCAGTCAAACCGGTAGGCCTCAAAGGACACGATTTACAAATGAAATGGATATGCGTCCGAATAGGAGAGCACAAGAGTAAAAATTTATATGTATTTTGTAACTCTTTTTCAATGAATAAAAATTTGTATTTCTTTGTCATGTTGTTGTTCAAGAAAAATGAGTAATGAAATATTTATATTATTTAATTTTGCGGGAACATTGAATAAATTCGTAATACAATATAATTGAATATGTATATTCACTATTACAATCTCTAACATAACAATTGATTATTTCTTATTTAATAAAATAATACATGTCTTTCCAACTATAAATATCACTAAATTTATTTACTTTTGTACATATTATCCAAATCAATTAAACTCAGAACACTTCATCATAAAATATAAAATATACCTCGATTGCAAAAGTGATTGCAACAATAAATTAAATCGGTCAAACTTTACTTTTTGAAAAAATCCTTATTTTTGGGTGCCTAAAAATAATTCACTAACAAATTTATATTGAATTATTTGTATATATAGCATGTTTTAAAAAAAAGTGTACGTAGCATTTTTCAATAAAAAAAATTAAAAGCTTATGTACGTACAAAGCAAGTTTTTCAATAAAAAAAATTAAAAGCTTATTTCGGATTAGAGGAATCCGTTTTTTAGCATTCCCCTGTCAACCCTAAAGTTTTCGGATTAGCCAACCCCGTTACCCGTATTTTCAGAAAACCTAAAAAAATTCCCGTATTTTGGAAGGCCAGGCAATGGTTTCCTGTCATTTGAGAAATCACCCATTAACTTTAGTTAAATTTGAAAAAAATAAATTTGTAATTTTAATTAAATCGTTAAGAATTTACTTCATACAATAATCAAATTTGACGTGAAATGATACATATTCAATATGATTTATCAATGATTACTCTTCACACAACGACTACGTAAAAGTTATGTTTGGATATTAGCGCGTGGAGCAAAAACGCTTTGTTTCTCACGCTACAAATGCTGGTAATTGCATATTTTGGACCAAAAATGTCAGTTAACAAAAGCCCCAAAGTTGATCATGACTAAGGGAGTGTTTGCGATTGCTTCTACTTTAAAAAAGTTATTTTTTAAAGTGATTTTGGAAAGAGTGTTTAATAGTAAAAAGTTGTAGTGTGAGAAAAAAGTGATTTTGAAAAAGTAAAAGTTGATAGTGTTCGATAAAATAAGTGCTTTTTGTACAATAGAAAAAGTGAAAAACACTTTAAAGTACCCTTCAATCTGCTTCCAGCCTTTAGCTTGTAAGTGATTAATTTAAGCAGAAACTGTCATTTGAAAACACCAATTTCAGCTTTTTTAAAGCCAAAGGCTGAGAAGAGCTTTTTTAAATATTTTGAAAACACCCCTTAAAAATGGGGATTCTCAACAATACACCAACACTTGACAAGAGTGTTTTTTACTTTTATTTATAGAAATGACATAATACATCAGGTTTGGTACGGAGTATTATATTACCACATCCAAAATATATTGGAATGACAAGCTAATATTTGATGGTATTAAGAAATGCTTGAGAGTTAACACCTTTATTTTATTTTGTCTCGCACTAACCCCGGTTAGAATCCGTTCTTTCAGTAACATTGTAGCAAATAATTTTTCCATATAAGGTTATATGGTAACCTGAAGTCATATTTAGAGAATTGTGTTTAGTTATACTCCTATATATAGAGAATTAATAATGTTTAATTATCTTATTGTTAGCTTGTTCTTTAAAAAAAAGCTTGTTCTTGTATTCTAAAGTGTGGACGGGAATGAACAATAAATAAGGTTATCCAAGTGAAAGCAGCCCGCCGAAAATTGAGAAGATGGATTATAAATTGGTCGGTCGAAGCAATGCAAAAGGTGATCCTAATGACCCTAGTTGGTAAGTCAACTGATTAATTAAGCTTTGGCAGCATTATATAAACTCCCTCTTTTAAATGTCCCGAAAGAGAGTGACACGAGTTTTAAGAAAAGTAGATTTGTGTGGTTGATATTAATAGATAAAGTAAGAATAAAGTAAGAATGATTTTGAGCCACACAAACTTTACCAAATAAGGTATGGGACAATTAAATAGGGACATCCCAATATGGTAAAATGAGACATTTAAAAGGGGACGGAGGGAGTATTATGCATGAGAGTCAATTTTATTTTTTAAGACGTAATTAAGAACGAACTATCCTAAATTAATATTCATCTCTCATATAATACCGTGACTTCCTTTGTGCAGTTGGGAAAAATTTAAGAATTGTTTGATCGGGTGCGCGAGCTGCCCAACTGGAAAACCAAATGCTGATTGCTGAGGTTGAATTGGTGGGATCCTCGCGCGATGCCTAATCTTATAACTAATTTTCTAATTAATTAAAGCATATACGATTACCCTATTCCGACTTTATGTTAGCTCTTTTAAAAATTAAAAAAAAAAACCTCTTGTTGGAAGAGCCAATTCCGACGGTAGGAAGAGGCATTTAAAAAAAATCCTTAATTGCAATAGCCAATTCAGATACCAATTTTTTTTTTTTAAAGTTAGACCCTTCCCACTACAAAACTTCAACAACCACCCAAATATAAACTTTTATAAAGAATTTTTTTTCCAAATTCAACCCACATAAAAATTTATGTAAAATTTAAACTGATAATTAACATAAAATTTAATCAGATAAAATTTATCAGATAAAAATTGATCGGATAAAAATCATCAGATAAGAGAAGTTCACTCTAGTAATCATGTGTTAATTTTTTATATGTATCTATGTATTAAGTAACTCGTGCTCAATTTTACAAATCTCTTTAAGATATAGTCTGATTGCATTTCGGATGGTTGTGGCCTTATTAGGTGGAATTGGGGGATTTTATGAACCGAGTCATAAAAATGTCAAACCCAAGCGTGAACATTAATATTTCATCTATATATTAAATAACTCTTGATCAATTTTACAATTTGTGTTCATGATAATAGTCTGATTGAATTTCAGATGATTGTAGGATTTGTAGCCTCATTATATAGGTCGAATTGGGGTTTTTATGAACCGAGTCTAAAAATGTAAAAAAGAGTAAAA